CATTTAGTTTGACCTCAGTACAGTATCTGCCTTGTTCTGTTTTCTGTTATAAACACGTGTTACAAGTTTATCCATAGAAGACAAATAACGCTCACGTTGTGATGGTGCAGAGCTATCTGCTTGCTGTCACCCATCTCTGCAGAATAACACGTGTGCACAGGCACCACTGTATGCAAGCCATGCTACTCAAATGTGCCGAGGTACTAAATTAAAATGTTTCAAGTTTTATTGTCACATATTTTTCCAAGCAAGAAAATACATGGCAACAGATGGACAGAAGCAAATATGCTTCTAGTTTGCCACAGAAGGCATTGTATCAAAGCTGTATCAAACTATCTATCTAATGGTGTAAATTTGGGTTGAACAACCCCCCAATGTACGCCCAGCCCATATGTATATCATACTTTATTCATGTAGGTAGGGATACAATGCCACTCCAAGCTGCTTGCACGCAGCTGAATGTCACTGAAAATAACACAGAATGTCTGTTATTTCTATTTGCCTTACCTGCTCGTCGCTTTGGACAAAAGCGTGCGCTAAATAAAATGTAAATGAAAATATAAATGCAAATACTCAATGACAGTGCGCAGCCTCGCAGCGGTGCGGGGGGCGGCTTTGTATCTGCTATTGCTAAGCAACTAAACTAAACGGTTGATAGAAGTAAGACGGCCTTCGAACTACGCCCGCTATGATTGGACGGCAGCATGATTCTGGCCAATAATTGAAGGTTTTGTTGGATGTGGAAGTTGAGTATTCCCGTTTGAAAAATATGTCAGCTAAAAGAAGCATTGGGAATGCAGAGGTAAACAACATTTGCGACGATAATTTGGGCTGTTAGCGGTAATTTGGGGACATGATCATTTAATTGTTTTTGTCGCGTAAAAAGCAATGCTGTTGAACAGCTGGTTAACTACAAATCTAATCTCTTTGGTGTGAAATTGCAGGCGGCTACCGGCTCTGCTCGTTGCACAGTTGTGAAAATATAAAATATTATTTTTTAATGACAGATAACGCGGAGAAATAAGCAGTCGCTGTCGGGAGGGTGTTGTACAGTGCGAAGATGTGGATAAAGTAAATTAAAGCGGTTGAAGAGCATTCGAAAGAAACACAGGGCAAGTTATCGTAACACTTGAGGTACGAAATGGTAGAATAAGTGTTTTTTTTAACGTTTCAGTACCTAAAGAGGAGAATCCCACAGAACCCCAGATATCAGCATGTGAAATCAAGGCTCGACACAGGTATTTTTATTCTCTGTTCTAATGTCTACACGGTGAACTTTCAGATGTCTTAGGGACAGGAGAGCACAAAGTACTCTTTGATTGGAAATCCTTTCAGAATGGGGGCTGATTACATCTGTGCCTGTTTGTCTAGTAGTGTATGGGAGATGTATCTGCCTTTTAATCCATCTCTTCATTTCTCAGGCTGCAGCCTGACAAAGTACCTGGACAGGCTGGAGGAGATGAAACGGAGTAAGCTGATCTTCTTGTGTGAAACCTCGCTTGGAACGTGTAATCACACCTCCTTCAATGCGGCATTTAATTTGCATTGCAGATGGACACCTTTTCATGTTTGACAGGCAGGTTTTGGGTACCAAGCGCTGTGAGGGTCATTGTCACAGTGCTCGTCTAAAGCTCAATGGAGGAGGTTTCTGCTGATGGTCTCTTGGCCAAATTATCTGGCTCTGTGAGGGAGCTCTTTGTTCAAACACTTTGTCTGTTACGGGTTGTTCTGATTTCTCAGGGATAGCAAACACTGATTCCTTCATGGGGAACAGCGGTTGCTTTGTTACTTATACTCAATTTCCTGTCAGCCTTGGAAATGGGACATACTGGATCACATGAAGCTGGGTGTTTTGTTTCTGTAACATTCAGACTGTGGGCATTAAAAGAGAGTTAGGGGTGTCTTCAGCAGGCAGTCGGGTGGGACAGGTGGTTCATGAGAGCGGTTCCGTTGTGGAGGTGGCCTCGGCGAGCGTGCAGATGGGGACGTTTCTTGCACGTCCTTCATACGCAGTATAAAAATCTGCACCGGGATGAATCTCATTAACGAGTGGGAAGATGTAGGTGATGGTGCAAGTGATGAGTGCCAGGGTCCAGGTGAGATCTTCTGTTGAAATATCTTTGGAAAAGAGTTTAGAGTATTAAGGTACTTTTCAATTGTTCTGTTAAGTCTTACTAAATGCAGATTGTTTTGTTTGGCTTCTAGATTACAGATATAGAAGAGGTGAGCTCTTTAGAAGACTCAAGGTTTCCACCTTTGCTCAGCTGGTGAGCAGACACCCTGACTTGATGTACCTGCAGCTTTCTGGTTTTCAGACACCTGTTTTTTATGTGTATTTTTTTGTTCTTCTCCAGGTCATTCAGGTTGCCTCAGTGTCAGATGATGTCCTGATTAATGGAGAAACACAGAATCTAAATGGTACTATTTTCACTACTATTTATAAACTAATTATGTATATTTGTTAGCAGTGTTGCTCAGTGTATGCCCGTAGAAGCAGAAGTTCATTAACATGCCTTAAGGTTGCAGTGCTCCAGTTGTAGAGTCCTATTAGAGTAATGCAGCAGCGTAAGCCCTGCCTCCATCTGCAGACATCCCCACTGTATCGCCCGAAGCACACGGGGACCATCTTCCCGAGGATCATCTTTCCGAGGACCCTTACAGCTGTCTGCCGACGACGCCTGTGCAGTTTGACGATAACAGTGTTAATGTGGATGTGGGACTCTCCCCTCGGTCCACGCTACAAAGGTAGCATCAGTAAGCCGCTCGCTGCCTCTTCTGTGACCCGTAACCTGATCCCTCCGTGTCTGTCTGCACATGCCCACACAGTTTTCCCAGCAGCCCTTGCTTTGTGGCTGCATAATGACTCTGCATTCATTGAGCTCTCCCTGGCGCAGCCCCGTCCCTGTGTTTGGCTGTAACCATAGCCTCCTCAGCGGACCTGTGACTTATTTGCTCTTTTTCACCCGGGGGACCTCGGGGGGATCTAGGGATGACCCTGGATTGGCTCACTGAGAGATGCGTTTTCATTTACAGCGTCATCAGCGGCGTGGGTGAACTGGACCTGGATGGAGAGAGATGTGTGAAACTTACGGCAGTGTGCGGCCCCCAGAATTGGGAGTCACCCTACCCAGACTGTCCCTACTTGCTGCTGGACGTGCGCGACAGGGATGAGTACGACCAGTGCCACGTGATCAGCGGTGAGCTGCAGGTTGTTCGGCCCAGCGGGGGCCATGGTCCCGGCCTGCGATGCCATTCTCACACGTGTGCCTCTCCCATTCGGCAGCTCACAGCTACCCCGTGGCCACTCTGTCGCGGACCATGAACCCCTACACCAAAGAGGTGCTGGACTACGTATCCACACGTGTGCATGATCCCTAAGCATCTGCAGCAGTTTGTGTCTTGTTAAGTGTGTTTTCTGTTTAAATTGTCTGAAATGGTCTCGTTCCCATGTGATGACTTTACCACGTGTGATATTTGGGAGCAGCGTGTGGCTCAGTGGGTTAAGCCTCTGTGCCTGTGATTAGAAGGCCACCGGTTCGAACCCGGCCTCGCCATGTCTGCCTGTCCTTGAGCAAGAACCCTTAACACCCAGCTCCCTGAATGCCACAACAAGTGGCTGACCTTTGCAGACAGCTTGCTGCAGAGAGTAAGTTGGGGGAGACGTACAGAGTGTTTCCCTGCTGGGATCAGTTAAGTATCAATTACGATTATTTACCCACGAATAGTATTAAGCCTTAACTGAGCACTGCAGAAAAACGCTCCTGGTAAGATTATTATTCTGTACGATGAGGATGAGAGAATCGCCTCCCAGGCTGCGACTACTATGTGCGAACGAGGCTTCGAGAACCTCTTCATGCTCTCTGGAGGTGAGCTCTCTTTGACCCTCATGCCTGGCATGGGTCAGTTATTGCTGAAGGTTGTTCAGATGCTTTCTCCCAGTCGGACACAACAAAGGCAGCACTGACACTGCAGGTTCAGCAGTCTGCCTTTGGCTTGTAGGGCTGAAGGTGCTCGCTCAGAAGTTTCCGGAAGGCATGACCACAGGCACCATCCCGGCCCGTTGCCTGCTCTCTCCCTCAAATGCTGGACGGCCACGGCACTGTAGCTCCCAGCCTGTGGAGAAGGCGTCCCACCCCGCAGAGAAAAAATGGCGTTTTACCCATGAAGATCTGAGCAAAATCCAGATCCACCTGGAGGAGATGCTGATATCGACAGACAACAGCAGTGAGTAGCCTGGGAATCAGCTAAACATACCATCTGTGAAGACGTTAGTTGTAGCTGTGCCTTTGAGACCCATGAAACGGTGTCGGGCTGCACAGCTCATATGATTTATCTTGGTAACAGGGCTGTGACCCCTCTACTCCACTTAATTTTCACCCAAGGCCCTTTTATGTCTTTGGTAGAGCAGTTGTGTGTCTGTGTTTCTGTGCGTCTGCCCATTCACACACACATGTCTTCCAGGTCGGCTCAGTCGAATGTCTGTCTCCCGTGCTGAGTCCCAAACTTCTAGCGCAAGATTCCGGAAAACTCCCTCAGTGGCGGGTTCAGAAAGCGCCAGGTCACAGAGCAGCAGGCCCTGGAAATAACGTTCCCAAACAAAGCCGTCCTTTCCCAGGAACTATTCAGTTCTGTACTGACTTCCAGGTTTTGTTTTCACACCTCATCTGTGCTTTTCTGTTTTTCAGGTTTGCTTTATCCCTTCAGTTTGATCATGCTTGACATTTGCTGAAGTGTCTGTTTTTGTTGATCATATATAACAGGTTTGTGTTTATACCATGCATCAGACTAGCAAAGGTGTAAACATATTACAACAATGTTGATACGTTATCTAATAAAACATTGGTCCTTTAGCCTTACAAACCTGCATTTATATTTGTAACTGGTTTACATGTAGCTATTTAATGATTCTCTTTACTGAATATTTGTTCTTAGTGTTTTGCTTGATTGGATTAGTCCTTAACCTTTGGTTAAAATAATAATAATTCTCAGCATACAGACTGTTTACACTTCTGGCATTTATTAATGATTATGGCATTAAATCACAATGTAACTTTTCTTTGTCCACAAGAAGGTTAAAATTATAGCTCTATTTTGCTGTGTGAAACAATGGTCTGCCTGCTTCAAAAGAAGCAAACTTACCTTTAAAAACATGTTTTTACAGAAAAGTTCTGCTCCCAAGATTGTGCTTAAATAAAATGCATTTTTAATGGTTTAAAGGAAAGGACAGCACCTTCTGTATATTGTAATCAAATGTGGTGTTTTTATTTGTCATTCTTGCAAAGGTGGATTTGTTCATTTAGGAATGTAGTATGACTACGCATCAATGCCCATTGAGCAGATGCTGGTGTGATGGGGTTACAGTTCAGTACATGTTGTCCTTGGCTTGCTGCATAATGACCATCAGAGCTATCCAGGTCTCCTCTGCTGTCGGAATGATCTGATTGGCTGGCAGAAGGAAGCCATAACGCCCAGTGTCACGCAGCTCGAAGGTGTACGAGTACTTGATGCCCTGCTTGTAGGTCCAGTCAATGGTGCCACCGCTGGCTTGGTCTGAGAGAGACATTGAACAGATGAAGAACAGCTGCCAGCATTTGGCAAAAGTGTAAGAGAACCAACATGAAAAAGGTTACTTACAGATGGTGTTGATGATGCTCCCGTATCTGTATGACGTTCCGTAGAGAGATGCCAGCTTAGTAATGGCTTTCTTTGCGAGTTCATGCTATAAAGAAACATGTTTCAGGAAAACTTTAAATGTCCTTTAAATATATGTGTAAACCAAGAGAGAACTTAAAACCACATCAGAGTGTTTCTGAAAAGTCATTACCCAATTCATACCTAAGAGTTACTATAAGTAAAATAAGCATTGTAAGCACCATGCAGACCTACTAACATTACAGGTTAGAGTTAGTGTTGAGGATAAACTCTGGCTGACTCACCAGCTCAAGCTGGTCAGGCACTGGGGTCCGGGTGTATCCATAGGGATACATCAGCATCTGTGAGTAGCTGTGGATGGACACAAAGGCTTTCAGGTTCCGGTGTGAGTTCACAAAGTCTACAATATGCTTGACCTCAGGCTCTGAGTTGGCCTTGGGTCCGTGGTACGTTTCGGAGCATGGGTTAGCACTTGCACCGGCACCTGTGCAGGGGAACACAGAACCAGAATGTGTTTAGCCTCTCATTTGCAGATTTGCTGTAGTACACCATTATTGGAATATACTGCATACCTCCAAATCCAGCATCCCAGTTTCTGTTGGGGTCGACCCCAACACAAGTAGATCCAGGGCTGGGCTTTCTGGTCTTGCGCCACATACGGTTCTATAAACACACATTGCATATTACATGTAAAACCAAAATTCTTCGCCACAGCTAAGTGATTGTGTTAGTGGGCACCCCTTTGGTGGACCTACAGTGGTGTGGGTGTAGTAGAAGCCGTCGGGGTTGGTGACGATCTCCAAGAAGATGTCCATCTCATTGAGGATTGCAGTGAGGGTGGCGTCATGCCCATAGTCACTCACAATCTGTTCATAGAACAACAGCATTTATTGAACTATGTTATTTTTGTAGCTACTTGTAGTAACTTGCATGTGGTTCCTTGTAATGTCTTCGATAGCTATAGCTGAATATGTAAAGCATTGGGCTTTTCATCTATGGGGCCAGGGCTCGTGTTCAGGTGTAATATTTTCAAGAACTTCTCCCTCAGATCTCTAAAGTGGTTCTTAATACTTATATGTTGTACTGACAGTCAATCATTTTAAGTCACAAAAGTCATCTTCTAATTAGATTATGATACAGGGATGCAGAGGCAATGCCTAGAGCCTGCCGCTCTACTTCAGGACAGATGTGTACATGTTTATGTACTATGCCGCTATCATCTTCAAAATATCGAAAATGAGTATTGCGTAACTATCTGAGAAAGAGGCCATGCAGTGATATAACAACTGGCTGTGACTGAGTGAGGTCAGTACTGAGGGGATGCTCACCTTCTTAGCGAACCAGGTTCCGCTGGCCTGGGTGACCCATTCCCTGGAATGGATACCGGTGTCGATCCAGATGCCAGGGCGATTTGATCCACCGGTGCTAAACTACAGGTGAGAGTGGAGATTTCACAAATTACCAGTAAGATGTGACTGGATGCAAAGGTGAGTTCATTACGCTAAGCTTTGGCTCATCTCACTGACTGCAGATACACATTTAAGCTCCACTCCCTCCCGGATGATGATGTACCTTCAGCACATACAGCGGACGATTCTCATAGCTGTTTCCGATCTGCAGCTTGCTCACCAATGTGGGATTTTCAGCCACCAGCATGTCCATGAAAGCATAGATCTGAACACATGAGAAAAGTATATTAAAGGAGGATTGATCTCTCCTGCTATTGGATCAAATGGCCAGTTCACACAGGGCTTTGGGTCTCTGACCTCACTTAGGGTGTGGTACATGGCATAGTCATAATTGTCTGTGCTTCTCGGCTCTGTGAAATGAGGGCTTTGCATCTCACGTTGTTCTTCATCCAGGATAACCTTCACAACAAAAGTTTTAAGTAATTTTGTCATTACAATGTATGCAGGGAAAAGAACTTCCATGTTTCATTTCTCCTCCTTTTCCAAAGCTGCTGTGTTAGCATCTTTCCTGTACCTGTAGGTCCTTGATCATGATGGAATATTGGATGTTATGGAATTCCAGGAAGGCCTTGACCATCGGAATGCTGTGGAAAGGAACATGAATATCCACAGGGAGGGCAGGCTGGCTCGCTTCTCTCCAAATATCCAACTAGAAGTAAAAAGGCTGTTTTAAACTCATTTGCTTTCCATGATTAGCTATTTACACTGCATCACTGTACTACACTAGCGGTCTGCAGATTAGCTATTTACACTGCAGTACTGTAGTGCACTGCACAAGTGGTCTGCTGGAGCAGTTATGACGTTAATGCTGTGGTGTTTTTTCATGATCTGCTTCTTGTCCACAATGTAGTATAAGTATGTTTAATTTAATAAATGTATTTCAACAAAGCACTGCACAGCCACCTTTCTTAACCACAGCAGTATTTTTAAATGCTGTTGTTTCTTAACTGGTGTGTTGAGGGGAATGTAAATCTGGAGTATGAGTTAGGGAGATATATGCTGCCATGTGAGTTCTGCCGCACCTCCAGATCCTCCATCTGAGTCAAGTCCTGCAGCAGCGAGATCTGCACCTCATCCTTGGCCAGTATTCTCAGTACCTGATCACTGGAGAAAAAGCACTGGGTTATGAAAGAAAAAAAATGTGTGTGTGTATGTATGACCTTTGCTCTTAAGTATTTTAAAATGGTATTTATTCCATTCCACCATATATTTTATTAGTGTTATTTGTGTGATGCATAGACTGAGAGCCGACTACCTCATCTCATTGTGCATGTGCACAATGATAATAAAGTTGACTTCTCTATGTTTACTGGGTTGCTTCTCAGTACATTCAAGGCAACTTGTTAAAAAGTAATTCACAGTTATTTGCACTTTAGTCAGATGGTTCCCATTAATTATGAGCAGTAATAAAGGAATCGTTTGATCACTTACCCATCAAAAGTCTTTAGGCCAAAAATGGCCACGAACAGGCTGGTTAGCAGAAACAGTCTCATGATGGGTGCTGGGCTCCGTCCGGCTCTCAGGAATGTTTATAAGCATGCGTGTCCTTGGCATTACCCTGCCACCTCATCCCTATCTGTCCTTGCCAAACACACGCCAGCTGCTGCAGTTCCCACATCAGTCCCTACAAGGTTTTAAGGTTGCAACATCAGATTCACACCTGCTATTTCAGGTTAATTTTCCATGCAGCGTGAATAAAACTATTTTTTTCTATAATTTTAAGTTCTTTACATATATAAGAAATATATGAAAGGATAAAGATTTTTACTGTTTTCATTAAGTACACCTTCATAATACATTCACAGAACTTTAGTAAGCAGCATGCATTAATAGACATTATGCGATCGTACGATTGTAAAGTCTGTTGGGCCTTGTTTATTGAAAGTGTTTTGAATTTTTTTTAAGACATGTTAACGTTTTGTCCTGACAGGTAGGAGGGACAATCCAAGGGCAGCCTATGGGTACACTAGGAAAGTTTATTTGTGAACAGCAATACATAGAACACCGGAAACACATGAGGCCACAATGGATCCAAAGCATGGAGGTCTAGGGTTAACCTAAGACCAGGACTAAGGTGGAGGGCAACAAGGCAGCAGGAGCCCTACCTGACACAGACAATGACCAAACCTAACATAAATGGGCCCTTATATACGAGGGAGACGAGGACTAAACAAGGGACATTTGTGAGTAACTGAGAGACAAAAGGAGACCGGAACACAACAAGCAGGGACACAACAGAGCAGACAGAGACCTTGCAATACACAGGTCTGGGTGTGTAGGATTCCTGAAGGCGTATGGAGCAGCTTCCGAAAGTCAGATGAATCCAGTCAATAATAAACAAAATATAAGTCAATTTTTGACTGGCTGTTATGGTTTAAGGCTCATTGATCCCACCTATTTGCTGGTTGGTGCGTAATGTACATAAATGGCGAAGGGTATATATGTCTATGTTTATTTTTGTTTGTTAAGAACAGCCCTATAATTTATCAGTTATGTTAGGTTAATGTAATCTGATGGTACGCATTATTAGTTGTTTAATGATACAAGAATCTTGATTGTTTAATTGATTCATAATCAATTCTGGTTTCAAACTGAGGAAATTGGGTGATCCCATTATGAAAGTCAAGGATGGGGGGTTGCTGGAAATATGCAAGCAACACAGCAACACACTGTCTCAGTCAGTCACACCACCATGTGACATTGCAAAATTATTATATGGAAATCTTTATTTTTAGAAAAAAATTCTCTTAAAAGCTTTGTGAACATGTGAACTTTGTGTAGATCAGTGGAGGAAACATCTCTATCCACACAGCTGGTTATTCTAAGGTTCCAAAGGTGGTTAACAGCTATCCAGGTATCACTCTATGTAGCTATTAATCTGTGTATTATTATTATTAATAATAATAATCAATCTTCTAACCACTTATCCTGTCTGTACTGTATTGTTCCCTGTGTCTTACCCTGTGTGCTTATTTGAATCTGCATGTGTATTTGTGAGAAACTAAATCCGACATATTGATGTGTGGATCTTGCCAGGAATTTCAAGACCTATACAGACGCTCCTCTACTTACGAACGAGATATGTTCCGAACAGCCGTTCGTAACTTGAAATGTTCGTAAATCGTTATACAACATTTTAAGGGTTTACACAAGTACAAAGAACTAGGATGCTGGGAGTCCGCACGCTACGCTGCTGCGCGGCGGGAGTAGCGGCCAGAAGCTGTACTAGGCGGGATTGGTGCATAGAAAACAAATGTTATGTTGCGGACAGGAAATGGGAGCCCAAGGAACACAATTTGGACTTACAGTCCTCTTTGTTCGTATGTATGAAAGATCGTAAGTTGAAAGTTCATAAGTAGAGGAGCGTCTGTATTTCCCAAAAACACATAAACAATGTAAAATATAGAAGAACCTTACAACTGCTATTACACTGTGATAGGAAGCAGGTGGACTAACAACATTCATCTGTGTGTATGGTTTTATCACAGTGATCAACAGTGCCTCAATTCTGGGAGGGCTATGTGTCTCTGTGGGTTATGTGCCCATGGTCTGAAGGGTGCCAGTTTAAATCCTTTGCTTGGCAAAGTAGCAACATCTTGGGGCCTTAACCCCCTGAAAAATGCTCCTGGGCTGCTGTATGGACAGCTGACCCTGTGCTCAGACCCCAAGCTTCACTCTCACCTCTATAAATGGGTATGTCTTAAGAAGGAGACACCGGATATGTGGTAACCAGCGCATGGGAATGAGTCTGTACTCATATGTGTACAAATGGCAAATAAAGCAACTTTTCAAATGTATTTTGTGATGAAGTTGCTTTACTTCAGCAATAAGACGTTTAGCGTTTCTCTTAATAGGGGTGATCTCGCACATGCTCCATGATGGTGAGCAAGGCCAGCCAGGTTTCCTGTGCAGTGGGGATGATCTGACTGGCTGGCAGGAGGAAACCATAATGACCAGTGTCACGCAGCTCAATGGTGTAGGAGTACTTCAGGCCGTTCAGGTAGCCCCAGTCTGCCATCGTGCCGCTGGCTGGATCTGTACCAGGTTGGTTGTAGTAAATGCCATGTTTACCATAAAGCTTAAATACCTGCTGGCAAATATTTCCTGAACATTGGCATGAAACTGAATGCAAACCATGAAAGCTCTTTTTGAGTTCTCCATTATGTCAAATTATTATCACAGTCTAAACCCTTCTACATCCCATTTATGTAAGAGGATAGAGATACTTCAGCCATACATATCGTGGAGATCATGCTTCCATAGTTGTACTTGGTCCCGTAAAAGGGCATCCACTGCCCGTTTGGCTAGAAGATGCTGCAATTCAAAAGAGAATGATCCAGTCAGCTTTCATGGATGGGACGCTTCTCGTACGACTCGCCAATGGTCATTTTGGAGAGCAGCTCGGGATTCTCAGCCACCAGACTGTCCATCCAGTCATAAATCTGTCAGACATGGATAGAAATAGATGAAGAATTCCAAGGTGGACTTTCAGGCCAAGAAATGCAGTGGAAACACTACAGTACAGAGGAAATGAACCCGCTGTCATGCCCTCATTGCACAGACCAAGATGGTGGCGCGAGTGCATTTCCAGGCTCAGACCAGTTTGACAAAATTAGTGTCTCATTTGCAGTTTTTCTGCCAGACCCAATTGTGCAGATTAATCATATAAACAACATTTAAACTTAAATGAAATATTACTCAACATCAGACTATATAGCAGTCCCCCTTATCCGCAGAGGATGTGTTTCAAGACAGAAGCGGCAGACTGCAAGAAGCAGTATCGTACAAATTTACTTTTTAAAAAGTGCTGTCTCAAGTGAAAGGACAAATTTGTCATACTACTTAATAGCTGTTCTACAGACCTTGCAAATCCCCAGACTTTTGTCGATATAAAACATCTTTAACATTAACCCCAGTTTCCGATTGCAATAGGTGAAATTTTACACCACTAACAATTACTAATCAGAACCGTCATAAGTCTTGAGTGGTTCGATCGACTACGTGCGCCATAAGCGAACAGTTCGGCTTTTTCGGAGAACTGTCCCATCCATATTTTAAAGTCTAACCCGATAAACAGTTTGAATTTGGACTTTTACCCGATGAAGAGTTTCTGGCTGAGCGCAATACTCAGCAAACAGCAGAAAATCACCGAGGGCCCCATCACCTTCCTCATCCTTTTCTACGGGTGAACCAACCTGTAGCAAACGCTTTATTGCATTCAGCATGGACCTGGGACCGTGGGTAATGGTGGACCTGACTAACCAGGGTCCTGCCTGGAAGGGGCCCCTTCAAAAACCTCCGCCAAAATTTGATTTGGGTTTTTAATATTAATACTTGTTATTAGGCCTATAGGAATAAATAATTTACACGATAAGTTCTGCTTGTCTGCCTGTTGTTTCCTTTGCTGCCCCCTTGTCCCCCTCCCCCGCCTCAAAAGCAAAAGTGGTTTGATCCTCCAGTGCGAAAATCGAATAATCAGCCTTCCGTATATATGCAAACGGCCAATCATGAATCCAAAATGAAACCTAAACCAGTCTGCGAAATACCAGTCAATTTTCGGGGGGTCCCCATCTCCCTATTGTTGCGCAATACCGATCTTGAGATCCCCTTAAAGTGTTGCTTTTGAGGCTTTCAGGGGGTCTCATGAGTTAATCGGGGGTGTCGGACCTCCCCCCAGTATTTCACACACTGACCTAAACTAAATCCATCATTTAAGGAGCGCGCAGATAGCGAAAAGAAAGTTAAAAGAAGGAAGGCATCTGCTAACAAGTTTCTTTCGGAAAACAGGTGACGTTCCGAAGTGTAGATATGTTGCAGTAACATAAGTTAGGTTGCAAATAAGCAATTAGCTAGTTAATAATCTTTAATAACAAGCACAGCCTGATAAAAAAGCGGAATTTTACTCAGTGCAGCTAGTAAGCATTTTATTTGTAGTTAATGTAACAGACAGTGTTTTTAAATAATAAATCCAGCGCAGTTGGTCTCTAACCTGGAGCAGCTACAGAGGGAAAAAGAGTAGAGCAGACCTCTTCATCTTCTGATGTAGCTGAAGACATGAGACAAGGTGAGCCCAGTAAAGGTGTTCAGGTTTCCAAACAACCATTTACTGGGCAGGTTCAGTGAACATATAATATTTAATAAAAACGTATTAGAGTAATTCCACATCAAATCACCCAGTTCTCGGAAAATTTCTCAGGTCGCACTCTAAGATTGCCCTGAAATAATCACAGATGCTCCTACACCGAACTTATGGAGAAATACCAAATATCGTCTATGCATTTCTAATAGCAATATCAAACTGTTTCTGTACAATTAAAAAATGTAATCAAATCAGCTGTATCTAACAGCATTGATGGCAAGTTCTGAAAGGGTTGCGAGGCAGAGTTGGAAATTTAAGCATTTTAAAACCAGCGAGTTCCTATGCTGATCCACAATTAGATCTCCCAACCCCAATCCTCGAATTAACTTATATAAACGGGTTTTGGGTTTGCTAATGCTTTGCACAAAACTAGTGAATACTCAACCAATCCAAGAAGCCAAACCACAGATGCTTAGTTTAAAATTCACTGGCACATCCAATCATATTTGTGTGATAGGCATTGATTGGCACAAATTACAGAGTGCACTGGGCACTTGATCACAGCATTATGTTACGTGCCGTAAGAGTTTGCAGGAGGTCCTGGTAGATTCTTCGGACTTCCCGCCCTCGTCGCTATTCGCCGGCTGCGTCTTCAGCTCCGCCCACAGGCCTTGTCGTCGGCACTCGGCAGCTTGTCCGCCATGCATCTTGGCTCCGCCTCCTCGACCAGACCCCGCCCACGACTACTCCGATGCGTCTCTCGTCATTTCCGGGTCCTGTGAAGAAAAGGCCGCAGTTTGCAACACTCTGGAGCTCTGCTTATTTCTTGTGTATTTGGTTTGCTTATCGGTTTTGATTATTAGTAGTGATGGCAAAACGAAGCTTTTCAAAGCACTGAAGCTTCCTTTTCAAGTGTGTCGAAAAATGGTTCAGTACTCGAAGCCTTCCGAAATGGTGACCATTAGTGACACCAAGTGGTCAAATAAGGAAATAACACTTAATTTTGAGTGAGTGCAGTGAATCTGAATATTTATAAATTGGCAAAAATTCTAATGGTCTGTAATGCGTCATGAACATTAATGACCTGGTGAACTTGAATGTGACTTCTTGTGGACTGGGAAACCATTGACTTAACTGGGAAGGGGTGCTTGTGTAACGGAAGAGGGCCATTAGTCTACAGATTTTTATTCAGGAACAGTATTTGTTCAACAGTGCGGGGGCTAAGTTGGTTACGTTTTTTATTCACCACTTCTCCTGCTTTGGAGAATACCCGCTCACATGGAACGGAGGACGCTGGAGTGCATAAAAACTGTACTGCAAGTTCGTATAAGTGTGGATACACAGCCTGGTGCATATCCCAGAACCTCAAAGGGTCTTCAGTATGTGGTATATTGGGGTCACAGGTTCGCGCCTCATTTTCACTTTTCTGAAGCAGTCACGTGATTGAGCACAGAATGAAGCTTCGGATCACCATGGTCACGTGTTTAGGGTAGAACGGAAGAAGCATCGAAGTTCTGCTTCAGAACGCACTATCGTTTTTTTTTGGACACATGCCTCGGAGCTTCGGTGTCAAGCTTAACATCACTAATTATTAGTGTATGACGGTTTTGGTTTTTGGATTTTGATTTCTCGCTTCGCCCCTCGGTACTGTCGCTTTGGTTTGATTGGTTTCCAGATTTATTTCTCTCGCTTATTTTCGACTACTCTCTTTGCCTTCTCCCTTCGGTACCGTTGCTTGTGTTTTGTGTGCTTGCTGTGTGTGTTCGTACCAGGTGTGTGTAAGGAGTGTCTGCCTTTTTGTTTTGCGAGTCGTGACGATTTATTGTTGGTTTGGTTAGGGAGCTAGGTGGTAGTATTGTTGTTTTGTTTATACTTTGTTTATCTCACGCAGGATTAGTTTAGATTGGGTTCGTTCGGTAGCGGTTTTTTTGGCATTGTCACTACCGAAGTCTGTTATACCTGGTGTTTGTGAAAAATAAAAAAAAAAAAAGATCCCTCTTGTTTCCCGTGTTCCCCGTGGCCCTTAGCTTGGTTCAGAGAGAAAGCGCAGACCTCAGCCTCACGTTGTAGCCGTAAAACGTTACTGCACACACTTCCAGTCAGGAGCAGGAGTACCTTTTGCTGTGCTCTCTATGGCTCCTCAAAAAATGTTTAGCCCCAGCTATGGAAACAAACCAGGAAACAAGTAAATGAAAATGACAGGCCTTGGAAAGTGCGCCTCAGAGGGTTATGGGCTTCAAGACGCTCTGCCATGTTTGCCCAGACTGCTGTGCTCTCTAACCTCAGCATTTCAGTGGCTGGATGCAGTTGGCCGTGCTCCATTTACTGTCTGTTCTACTCTGGTTACAGTCTGCTCTGTTTTGCACTGGTTACAGTCTTTTCCACAGGATGGAGCCACAGACAGGGAGGTAAACATGATTCGGTTATGGGGAGTTCATTTGTGAAGCATGTTCTTCCACCAGGGGACACTGTTTTTCATTTTGAGGTTGAGGTAGAGAAGTCACTCCACATCAAAGCAAAAAAAAAAAAAAACAATACAGTGAGCAGACTAATAAGGCACAGACACAAAGAGCAAGTTAGAGATGCCCATTTAGGTCTTTGTACTGGGGAGCCTGCTGGTGTAAGCTGGTGGGACGGGGGGTGAAAACATGCAAACAGTGGAAGCAGGATTCAAAGATCCAACCCTGAAGATCTGAGGCACCAGTGTTCCCCACTGAACCACCTTAACGTCAGTGAACATCCTTACCCTCAGTCCTTGACCCTAATACCAGAGTGCAACCTTACCCCTACCCTAATGTTAGAGAGCATCCTTATCCCTAATCTTAGAGTCAGCGACCATCCTTTTTTTAGTAAGAAGGTCAACTGTGGTGATGTTCGCCTCGTAGTCACCATCCTTCACACCCTTCCACTTTGGCAGGGCCTGCAGCATTCACCGAAGAGAGGTGCAGCTGGGACGGCTTCCGTTTCCTGTCATTGTGCTGGGAAAGAGAAACTCACCCTACAGGCACAGATTCTGCCTCCTGCCTTAATATTTGCAGTATAAAGTCTCACTCTAACACTTCTGTGTGTCTGACAAGGAGCTATGCATCCCAAGAATGTTTCAGTGTCAGTCAAATAAGAGTATTTTGGGATTAGTAGGATTTTCTGCCTATACAGTGAAGATATTTATTCCAGTTTCATCTGAACAGGGGCTGGAGGTGGCTTAGAAAGGGGACTTATACTGGCTGGTGCTCCATGCTGAGTGTTAAAGGCTAATATTAGAGTTTAGGGTTAGGATTATTCTTAAGCTTAGGGCTTATGGTTAGGGATTCCCCCTGATGTCAGTACCACTCTGTTTAGTCCCCAGACCCACAGCCTAATGGACAGACTCTCTTCATCTGCATTTACATTTATATTTATACTTTTGTCCAGAGTGTCATATTAGTGAGGAAAAAACTACATTACGAACATACATGCAGTCAAGGAGTTGGCTAGGCATTAGTGCAGCTAGGCTGAGCTTTCAGTGAATATCTAAGTGCAAGTGAGAACATGGTTGGAGCAGGAGCTACACAATGTCTACCAAAGAAAGCGAGAACCTAGTAAGACAACTACACAAATCAGCAGAAATAATCATCAGCAACATTAAGAGCATTCAGGGAATATACAGTGATGTAGGCTGGTAGAGGTATTCATGTGAATCTAAAGACATTATTTGCAAACATTTAAACCAACATTTAAATGGGGAATGCAACATCTGCCTATCATCAGACAATATTCACAGATTGCCATTATATTTAAAGCAACAGTCATTCTTAATGAATAAAGGAATATTTCCACAATCCCCATAGCGGCACGGAGCAGCAGAGCATCAGAATGACGGGAAGACAGGCACACAGAGAGAGTGACAGGAACACAGACACTGAGACAAGTACACAGAATGACAGACAGGCTGACAGAGAAAGACAGGCAGGCAATTGGACAAGACACACAGACAGAGTGACAGACAGACACAAAGAGACAGGCTGGCACACAGACAGGCAAACAGGGAGACAGAGACAAACAGACAGAGTCACAGACAGGAACACAGACAGACCAAGAGACAAGCAGGTAATCAGGCAAACAGACCGACAGAGAGACAGGTTGACACAGACAGACGGAGAGATACAGGCAGGCAGACGGATGGATGGATGGATTGATTGACTGACTGATTAAATGAAAGACAATAAACAGTAAGAGTGCAAAATATTGTATGAAATTTTGTAGTAACACTTCAGAAATAAATAGTATTGCACAATGGGTTCCACGGTGCTAAATACACAGCAGGTTGTACCGTGATAGTATTGCAATGAAAATCCTTTTGTGCTCAGAGGTTGAAAGTCCAGTGGCATGAGATTTTTCATACCATGTATCTGGTTTTACTTGCTCTACTTGACCTTCCCCCCAGAGGACTGTACAGTTAGCAGTGCTCTGATATCCAGGCTGAAACTTCGCACAGATGAGGAAAAAAAACTCTCAGAATGAAAAAAGATCTTTCACAAGAATGCACGGGTGCCTTTTATGGTCAAGAGTCGAGAAATGGTTCTTTTTAAAGAACTGTGACTCTGGTGCGCCTCTGGGGATGCGGCCAGTGTCTCAGGGCTCAAAATGGGCGACAGCAGAACCCGTCCTGCACTGCTCCGTCATACACACACAGGCAGGATCAGCAGGTCAGGTCTGATGTGCTCACATAATGCCTGCGTAACTCGAACAGGAATGTTCATGCCTGGTACCACCTTGCTCTCCTTCACTGGGAGATGAATCATCCCTCGGTGGGAAGGAAGATCTGCAGTAATCTGACGCTCCATGTTCTGCTGGCTTTTCTGTAATGCAGTGATAAGCTTCAACCCCGCAACCCACTCCCACTCCCTGATTACATCCCAGTATTTTTGGGGGTGACTTGAACACGCCGGTGCGGTAATTCAGGGTGTGACTCAGACATGCCAGTGCAGTGCTAGATGCATGATTTTTTTCTGAAAAAATTAGCCAGCAGGCAGGCAGCTGCCCTCCTCTTTATAACCCGAAGCCAGCCTTAATCACCTGATTAGCAGATGAAAATACTGACACATAAATTCAGTTCATTTTATTTGACTGTAACACACAATATTTTGTGAAAGGTTAGGGCACATGAAGGACATTGTCATAAACTTCCATCACTGACTGGAGGGGGCAGGAACAACACCCAGAAGCCTGAGGTGTGACACCATATTGTCAGCCACTGCACCATCTGCATAGGGGTGACTTTCCAGTGATATATAACAAACATAAAGCTGCATGATGCTGACATTTTGTTAAATGAAAGGAAGGAAAAGTGTTAAACCCAAATAGAATCTCTGGGTTTTTCCCCACATGGTAATTACAGGTGCTTTCGAAATGTTAGAACTTTCTTCTGGAACCAGATCCATTTTCCAGAACAAATAACTTTTGTCGTGTTCACACTGCAGGAACTCGGCCCAATTGTACTTCCTCAAAGGCAGTTCCAGAACCCTTTTTTAGTACCTACTCCAGACCAGGTACTTTTTGTCTAGCATGCACTCCTAGGGAGGCACTTACAGTGATAGCCTGCTGATTGGTTGGTGCTTACAGTGATGGCCTGCTGATTGGTTGGCGCTTACAGTGATAGCCTGCTGATTGGTTGATGCTTACAGTGATAGCCTGCTGATTGGTTGACCACAAGCACCAGGACTAATTTGGAAGTTATGCGGAAGTGCAGAAAAAGAGACATTACCCCAATTACATTTAATGCATCTGTTAATATTTTTTTGCCTTGTGTCTCCATATTTCTGCATCAGAAAATTTGATGAATAACTAATATACTTTTGTCTAATATCATCTGCTGGCCAGATTTAATAAGAGTCACGAACATGTTGTGAGTAAAATATAAATAAAGTGTCCCATTTTTATCGCAATCAATCCCCCCAATAACTAACAAATGACTAACTAAGGCAGGTGTAGCTTTATGTAAAAGTAAAGATAAATTCTAGGAATGAGGTCAGTGAGTCAAAGAATGTTCCCCCCCTTCCAAAGACAGCAGTGGTGGGAGCAGAGCTGGTGCTACACAGGCCAGCCTCATCCAAATATCTCTCCCTTACAGCCATTCCCTTGAAGATTTCCAAACCCCATCCTCCTCTGTGTTTTTCCACATCCTCGTGAGTGGGGGAGGCCCCCTGAGAGAGCAATGCGGTGCCCTGACTTCTGTCAGTACTGACCGGGACATGCTACATTCCTACAACTCACAGAGATGGATGTGGATGAGGCAGCACTCAGCAGAGCCTTACAGTCTGAGGCAGGGAGGACCTGTTTATAAATGGTGGGCTTAGGGGCTGGGGATGTGTGCCGGCTTTACAGTCTGAGGCAGGTAGGCTCTGTTTATAAATTGTAGTCCTGGGGGAGGGGTTTGTGTGCAGGCCTTAAAATCCGAGTCAGGGAGCCTCTGTTTATAAATGATGGTCCTGGGAATTGGGGATGCATACCAGTTGTACAATCCAAGGCGAGGAGGGTCGTTTTTTAAGTCATCATTCACATAGATTAAAGTGTGGTCCTGGAGGGCAAGGATGTGTGCTGGCCAAGCAATCCAGGGAAGGTCTGTTTTTCAAGGCCAGAATGAGTCATGACTGCTTCAGAGTGAAAAACACTGAAAAGGTTCCTTTCTGCAAAGCCGACGCAACCAGGATGAACCCAGTGACTGGACCGCGGCAGGCTGAAGTCATTTGGACGAGGCCAGTGGGGGGCTGGTCTGGCTTTGGATGGGTCGTTATGCTCGAGGGCCCGATAAGCAGAGCCTCTTTCGCGATAAAGGAGGTTCTGTTTGGGCCTGTGATTCACTGGCTCAGTATTTGTGTGTTTTATTGTACACAGGCAGCCGAGCACTCGAACTTTCCAGCCGCCTGCTCTTTCCTGAAAAGCTGCCAGGAAAAACTGTGTGGGTTTAGCTGGGGGGGGGGGGAGCAGGCGGGGCATTGTGGGCATGGTGAAGAGCTTTATTTAGCCAGTGTGCTATGAAATGCGGGCCTCTGCATCCACTGCATCATCAGAGTGGGGCCACATTATACAGCAGCCCCCCCCCCCCACACACACACACAGACACACAGACACAACTCCCATTGTGTCCTCAAGGCAATTGTTTCACTGCAGATGAAGAGATGAAAAGGCAATCAACCCCTCAGCTCCTGCCTGAATGGGGGAACCCCACACTGATTAGGTGCAGCATAGGCTTCCTTCCTGCGGTCTGATTGGCTAAGATAAGACCCCTGACGCCTGATTGGATAAGATAAGCCCCCTTCCCATAGTCAGAAGAATATCAGAATCAGGTGTAATATTAAAAGGAAACATCTGATCCTTTTAACTATCCACATCCAGATACTGAAAGTCTAGCTGTTATGGTTACGGACACACCTGAAGGTTCCTGGTTCGAGTCCCTGCAGTAGCATTGTTTGGTTAGAGCTCTGAGCAGTTGTTGATGTATCAATGTTTAATGTAAATACACCAAATTTGCTGGAACTCCTGAGAGCTCAGATCATGCTCTTTTCCTCGACTGAGGTGGTGTTTTTTACACCAACCCATCTTTCACAGGTTTTAACAAACCACCAGCATGCTTTAGGTGATGATCCACATGGACCATTTTCTGTTGGGTGGGTCCAGCAGACCACCATGGCCACTCCAGGTTTTCCTGAGGCATTTGTGGATAGGCAGCGGCAGGCTGCTGTCGACTCTTATCTATGTCAATGAACAGCTTTACCATGCTTGGCTTTATTCTAATTGAATCAGCTACATGTGAGGTTAGACACAAAATGACAACTCTCAACTCATTTAACCAGAGCCACCTTGTTATGTGTTTAAATATCTTTAAATGCTGTCAAAGTAAGTGCTTCAATACAGAAACATTATGTCGTTCATCGAAAGATCCAAACACACAAAGCAGTGAGGAATTTTGTTACCGTGTGAGACATCCGCTGTCACTAGCCAAAATAATTACCGGCCTATTGCTGTCAGGTCAGTAATCATGAAATGCTTTGAAAGGCTGGTATTATCTAATATCAAGGCCTGCATCCCCCCTGGTCTAGACCAAAACCAGTTTGCTTACAAAGCTAACATCCACAAACTGCACCACTTCAATTGCACTTCACACTGTCCAAACTCCCCTGACATCTATGCTAGGATGCTCTTTGTTGATTTTAGTTTAGCATTTAACTTAGAGGCTCCGTGGTCAGCCTGCCTCCGTATGATCCCTTCTCCTCTCAGAGGATCTGTGCTCAGGCTGCCTCCCTGTGATCTCTGCTCTCCTTAGAGGCTCTGTGGTCAGCCTGCCTCCGTATGATCCCTGCTCCCCTCAGAGGATCTGTGCTCAGGCTGCCTCCCTGTGATCTCTGCTCTCCTTGGAGGCTTGGTGCTCAGACTGCCTCCGTATTATCCCTGCTCCCCTCAGAGGATCTGTGCTCAGGCTGCCTCCCTGTGATCTCTGCTCTCCTTGGAGGCTTGGTGCTCAGCCTGCCTCCATATGATCCCTGCTCCCCTCAGAGGCTCTGTGCTCAGGCTGCCTCCCTGTGATCTCTGCTCTCCTTAGAGGCTCTGTGGTCAGCCTGCCTCCGTATGATCCCTGCTCCCCTCAGAGGCTCTGTGCTCAGGCGGCTCTGCTTGTTCTGTATTGGTTGAACATGCTGCTTTTTAGAGTGATACTGAATATTAAACCTCTGTGATTCTGGGATTGTTCACTGATTTTGCTTTGCTGTCATTTGCTGTTGTTCTACTTCACAACAATGAAGTTGTGTCAGATGGACTATCTTGTCAGGAAATGCCTCAGTGTAAAGTCAAATTGACAATGATCCCTGTACATGAACACCTTATTCCGAGTTCACAGCCTGTCACAAACTCCATGTACCGATGTTTCATGTACGCAACCACTAGGCTGAGATATCTGCTCTACATCATTTCTCAGCTGTGAAACACATTGTGGTTCAGGGAAACAAGCCCACACTTCTGCTCTTTTCCAGCCAAAATCTCTAAGTTCAAGAAAGAGTTAAAGAAGCGGTTTTAGTGGCTAATTTTATCCTGCTGGCGTCTGGAGAGGGAATCCTCCTCGTCTGACATTCTGCAGTGGAGGACACCCCTGGGTGATGTAAGGGGAACCCCCCGCCCCATGCTGAGGGGTTTACATGGGGACGCCAGCAGCCTAGCTTATAACCACCGACACACCCAGCCCAGCCTGTGGTCTCTCATCTGAGCTTTAAAACTCCATCCTTGTGGCACTTCTGCCAGTACACTGTGAGAAATTTACAGTGATCCCCCCCTTCCTACAAGGGCCATTTTACAGTACACTGTAAATTTACACTGTTTTCCCCAACAGAGCTGGCCAGAAACACAGCTCTCTCTGTGATAGATATTCCCTATTGCTAAGCAACGCCATCCCATCAAGTCTGAATGCTGCCATTTATAGATACAGTATAATGCTTCCTGATTCAGAAAGTTTTTCTTATTAGAACTACTGATTTGTTGATTATTTGTGGGATAAATAAGAACTGTGTTCTGTCAAAAAATGACCTAAACTTGGGTTTATATTTTTTAAACGTAATGCGTTCATTCCTTAGTCGCAGAATTATTGGCATCTTTAGTACATTTGCTGCTGTTAAAATGGCTTCGCATATTTCCAGCCGGCATAACATTAAAAACAGCTCAGAGTTTCCAGCCATCTGGGGCCCAAATATCTCATGTGGGCGGCCCTGTGAACCAGCTGTGTTTTTAGTGCCTTTACCAGTGACTTCTGCAGTTCACAGAAACTGGTCATGACGTACCCAAAGGGCAAATCATATTGGGCCCCCAGTCCAGACCAATCCAGTTATTTTCCAAATGTTCTAGGCCCCCTATCACTCAGGGGCCCTTGAAATCATTCTAACTTTCCTCCGCCTTATGGCATCCCTCAACGTACCCATAGGTAAAAAAGTATTCATTCCATTGCGAATGCCCTTTTTAGTATCAATATTTTATTTATTGATATTTTTAATTCCTCCACGTCTTTCTTAGATACATATTTTATTGTTGTCATTGTAATTATTATTACTAATAATACTATTGTTGTTATCATCGATAATAATAATAATAATAATAATAATAATAATAATAATAATAATAATAATAATAATTGTCCCAGTTTCTAATTACAGTGTAAGATAAAGAGCGCACGGGGAGTCATGCGTGACCCGGGGACGGGGTCCGGCCAGTGTCAAGTGACCAGCCCAGTTTATCTTTGTACTGACATGGGGCTCGAGAACGAGAGGTCCGAAACAAGCGTCCTCATGGACCAACAGGAATTCAGCCGGACCTCGGTGCCGATTCTGGCCGAGAAACAGAAAAACTGCACTGCGGCTACCGACCGGGATCCCCAGGAAATTAACGCGCACCTGAAGGTAACTGGGCAAACAAAACACAGTATACTCAAGGTAAATGCGCGTCTGAAGGTAAATTGGGTACACTCAAGGTAAGTGCACGTCTTAAGGTAAATTGGGTACACTCAAGGTAAATGCGCTTTAACATCAATCATTATGAAATCACCGCTTTGTTGTAGGCTGTGTAGTTTCACTTTTGATGAGAATGGAAGTGAATAACTTCATAATTAACTGGTACTGCATATGTTTACAGTGCTGCTAATTTTCAAGCATATGACTGCTGCTCGTGTTTTTAAAGCTACACTAGCATTTAGATGAACCAAATATACGACGCACTACTGCGCTTTGGTTCGCTACTCAGCATACAACACGTACATCTATATTTAGGACTATATTCTTGTTTTTATTTACTTCATGTCACGTGTAGCATTGGTGGAAAAGCCAACATAGTTTCGTTATACGTGTGCAATTACTATAAAGATATTCTGTTCTATAATGCGTATACCGTTAGCAGCAGCGCAACAGCAGCAAACGTTGCCGACGCGCTCAGCGCACAGGGTTAGTTGCTTTGTATTCGCGTGCACCGTGTAAGTACGATTCTGTTGGCAGATCAGCTTTGAGGACATCATCGGAGAGCCCGCCGCCCTGCACAGCTTTGACTCGGTGTGGGTCTCCAGCAGCGCCCTCTTCGAGCTGCTTAAATACGCTTCGTACCGCCTGATCAGCGCGCTGCTCGCCGTCCTCCTGTCCTTCGCGGCGGGATCCCTCTTCGCGCTTCTCCGCTGCCTTCAGATCTGGTATGGCATCTCCTGGCTAATTCAGTCCCTAATGCGCCAAAGTACCGTGAAAAATTAAGTGGCCAGTGAATACGTCACTTGTTGAAGTTGCAGGTCCTGAAGAATAAATCTAACGTAACTCTTAATTAAATTAAGGCCGTAGTTATAACATATACAGCCTTGATTTAAAGTAGGAGGCTGCTTACTGTTAATTAGCCGTCATGCGTCTGTGAAGCGTTTGGCGAAGTTAATGACTCTAATTATTCATGTACGCTGTGGGATATTTTGTAGGATACTGATCCCACTGGTGCAGGCGTGGTTTATGGCTCTGCCGACGGTCCAGACAGTCTGGAGCAGTTTGGTGGACACCTTTGTGGCTCCTGTGTTCACAAGCATGGCCAGATGTCTGTCTACAATGGACGTGAAAACTGCCAAACCCAACTGAGATACACCAGAAGTGCAGGCAAAGGGAAACCTGCTAATTTCTGACCCAATATTTGTTTGTGACCAAACTATTTGACAACATTCCATTGTTTCATTGTATAGAAAAGAGTTGCGATGGTTAGGGCTGTAATTGTAAAGATAAAATGATGCAATATTAATTAAGTTCTGACTGTATTTCTGTGTAACAGAAATATTTGACAAACGGTGTGCCGCTGTGTATATCTCCTTAACCAAACGCAAGTACTACACCAGAAAATAGCCAGCGGTAGTCTTGTGACCGTCCCTGTCTTGAACTGCTCGTCAAGAATGCGTTGGTGCGTATATGACCAAAGTGAGAAAACTCTAAAGTTTGCTGATACATTTTGATTACAGGTGTGACCTCAACAAGAAAATTTTAACTTATTGAAAATATGTTTTGTACTGAAGACAAAGTACAGAGATATTTACAGAGCACCATTCAGTCTATAATTATTGAATATTATATAAATCTATTTAACTCTAACCTGTATTTAAACATTTCCTGTGAAATGAATATAAAAATGTAAATTTTCTTGATTGTAGTTGATTATTTTTCGGTTTTTATGCAGTCAGTAGTTTTAACTGAATTACATGCTATTTGTGTTATTCATTTATTACTCAAGCTGGCACTAATATAATCAGCACTTTCAACTCTATAATCATTCTCCAGGTTGCTCTTCCATTATTAGTTCTCGGTTCATTGCACCAATATGATTTCTGCTTTTGACAATTATTTTACAACAAAGTATGAGCACACTATTCAGATACATGTAAAGTCGAAATAAAAATAGGTGAAGGTGACCAGACTGCTGTGCGGTGACTCATTTTGAGTTGTGTCAAGATTTGTCAAACACTGCAATTCAGAAGTTATGTCATGGAAACGTCTGCAAAAATGTTCAGTGTTCGGACAGTCAGTTTCCATTAAACTAAGGATCCTGTATGAAAACAGCCTGTAGCTGTGTTCTCAGTACTGATGCATGTACTGATCACTCATCTGTACCTGTTATGGGCCTGACTGTTTAACTAAACGTAAGTCTACTAATGAACTGGATGACTCACAGTGAAACATCTGTGTCAGTAGCACAGTTATAATTCAGAGACACCAGCAGCTACAGAGTATGCTTGAACTGTAAACTGTTTCCTTTGGAAGTAGGCCCGTCTGTCCATCCACCCATCCATCCATCCATCCATCCATCCATCCATCTATCTATCTATCAGAAATGTATTATTGCACGACTTATGAAATGTTTTCCATACCTGAGTTGATGTTGAGTATCAAGTGAGGCAGAGCTTCATGTCAGTTAAATAAACCACTGAAAGATGCAGATTGGCTTTTTACGGCCATGGCAGCGTGCGAGGAGAAGGCTGTGAGCAGAGAGGAAGGAATTGGGGATAAATCTGCAGTAGGGCGCATACTGGCAGGTCTAACACAAGGGCAAAACGCAATGCCAAATTAAGACAGGAATCCTGTCATTCGCAGATCTTACCCAGCTGTTTTTTCCCGTTTGACTGTCGCCTGATTATCCACATTTCCACCTTCATCCAAATAATCCCGAGGGGTTGTAGCCATATCACTCATGGCTTTACATTTAGCGGCAGTAGAGCTCAGTTTGCGGATGATCCCTTGCGCTTCGCGCAGGGGTGTGGCGCCGTCCCCCTCCATGCATTTAATACCATCCCAAAGCCGGACGCGCTCCAGTACCCCAGCAGCTCCGTCTTTACACTTTTATTATTTCATTATTAACATTTTGATTAAAATAGTTTTTCAATTCGCCCTTCATCAAGGATCAGCGGAACATATATAGTGCAAACAACAAAGACATGGATAACGACAGCATGAACGAGAACACGTTGCAGGATGTGCACACGAAGGAGATAGACCTCGTAAATCGGGATCCCAAGCACTTAAATGATCATGTTGTAAAGGTATGTGGACGCATCTCACGTACAAAGGCTTTTAAACTTAAAAAAAAAAACTTTTAAAACTTGAAAAAAATGAAACGGAGCTCCTATAGCTTCTAGGTTGTGGTAGTTTTAATTGTAATATCTACAATACAATATTGTAATATTGTATTAATTTACAACACGCTTAGTTTGTATAGGAATAAAGTAAACTTTGGCAGATCCTGTAAACACAGATGACATTTGAAAGCAAGGTGTTCACACTCATCAATTAACCCCATGATCAGCACCTTGAATAAAGAAACCACTATATATTAAAGAAATAACATTTAATGCATCCGAGCAGTTAACGCTACATTTCACGGGGATTTAACCGTAAACCCGCACCAATCGCCAAAGCACGCCTACCGCGCCCCAGTAAAAACAGTCTGTATGACCCTCGTTGTAGGGACAGCCAGTAAATACTGTCTTCGCTGCGCGGGGTTCGTTACAAAAACAGATGGGAAAAGTAACTGTTTGCTTAACATGATGTCACTGAAGTAGGCGGTGTGGGATATTTTGTAGGATACTGGCGGTAAACATAGAGATGTGGATGTGGAATGAGGGATGACCTGTAATTATAACCCTGCGCCACCGGTCAGGGTGCAGACCATCGTAACGCCGCGTGCAAAGCAGCGACAACATTTCTTTCACCAGAGATAGTAACGTCATAGCGGCTCCCTGGCTTTGCACAGACTGCATGTGAATTAACCTGAGAATTCATGATATTGAATCTGACAAATTCAGCCAAGGAGAATCATCTGTCGTGCCAGCATACATTTACTGACATGAAACATCATTTTATAAGTATGACTGTTTGACCATTATCATCTTGCAGTGGGGAGGTACAGGCCAATGGTCGCAGTTTTTGTGAAGTTCAGGATATGGAAGCAGCAGGACAGTGCATTCAGAAGCAAAATGGCTGCACCTCATATCACATCATGGGGCAACATTTGATTATTTGATAATTAAGTAATATTTGACTACCCACCAAGTATCACCAGCCCTTCCTGGGGAACTCATTCAGCACTCATAAAAACAACAAAAGACTTCAGTGAATGTCAGCACTGAGCTATAGATCCCATAAACCCTACATCAGGGCTCTCTCTTATTGTAATGACACACTGTAAGAAGGATCCGCATGGANTGTAATGACACACTGTAAGAAGGATCCGCATGGAGG